GCAGGAGGCAGCCGAGCAATGATTCCTTCTCATCATTAATGTTTCTATTTCTCTCTCCCTCTCCCTTCCTGTCTGAAATCAATAAAAATATATATTTTTAAAAATGGAATGAAAATAGTATTAAAAGTTAATATTTATTGAGTGCTTAGTGCCACAGATTGTATTAACCACTTTACATACAGTGTTTTCAGTTCTCAGAACACCCTTGTGAGATCAGGCCAGTCATCAGTATTACTGGCCTCATGAAAGGACTGTCTGAGTCCTCTCCCTGCTTCCCCATATTGGGCCCCTGCTCTCTTAGACTGACCTGGAGAGCAGTGATGTACGAGAACCATCCAGGGTGCTCTGCCAGGAACCACTCCGCTGTGGCAGCCACTAGGCCGCTGGCTGTTAGATAGGGATGACTAAGACATGTAAATAGAGATAGATTTGTTTTCCTTTTTCTTAAAAAAAAAAATGATTTCTACCAAACTTCAAATTTATTATAAATCTCCAGTAATTAGGACAGTGTGGTTTTGGCTCAAGGATAGACAAATAGTCCAGTGGAATAGAATAAAAACTACAGGAGCAGATCCACATGTCTGTGGATACTTATATGATGAAAGTGACATGCAGTGGTGCTGGGTTAACTGGACTGGTGATCATGTGGGGAAAAAATGGCTCTTGATTCCTATTTCATACCATATACAAAAATCATTTAAAAAATGAGCTGTAGATCTAAATGTAAATGTTAAAATCATCAAACTGCTAGAAGATAACATACAAGAATATCTTCATGATCTTAAGGTAGACAGATTTCTTAAACCGGACACAAAAATCACTATAACCACAAAAGAATGAATAAATTGAATTACATTAAAAATTAGAATTTCTGCTCATCAAAATGCACAAGTAAAAAGAGCCAGGGGCTCTAGCCAGTTTTGCTTGTGGTTGAAACGATGGCCTGCAGACTAAAGGGTCTTGGGTTCAATTCCTGGTCAAGGGCATGTACCTGGGTTGTAGGTTTGATTCCCAGCCCCAATTAGGGTACGTATGGGAGACAACCAGTCAGTGTGTCTCTTTCACATTGATGTTTCTCTTTCTCTTTCCCTTTCCCTTCCTTCCACTCTCTCTAAAAAATCAATGGAAAAAAATATCCTCAGGTGAAGATTAACCAAAAAATAAAATAAAATAAAATCCTATATAATAAAAGCCTAATATGAGAATTGACTGAATGGCGGAATGACCGATGCACACTGACCACCAGGGGGCAGACACTCAATGCAGAAGCTGCCCCCAGCCCGCAGGCCCCAGGCCAGCCAAGGCAGATGCCAGCGGGGCCCCTCTCCACCCCACCCCCCGATCACCCCACTGGTTGCCCCACAGATCAGCCCTGATCACAGGCCAGGCCTAGGACCCTACCCATGCATGAATTTCGTGTACCTGGCCTCTAGTAGTGAAATAAAATAAAGTAATTCAGAAGTAGTATGTTAAAAAAAAAAAAAGTGAAAGGGGCTCAGCCAGTGTGAGTGGTTGAGCACTGACCCATGAACCAGGAGGTCACAGTCTGATTCCTGGTCAGAGTAGGTGCTCGGATTGCGGGCTCGATCCCCAGTGGGGGCCATGCAGAAGGTAGCTGAATGATGATTCTCTCTCATCATTGATATTTCTAACTCTCTCTGCCTCTCCCTTCCTTTCTCTGAATCAATAAAAACATATATATTTTTTTAAAGTGAAAGGGGAAGCTCCTGAGAGGGAGAAGATATTTACTGAACAAAGGAAAAAACTTCTTCAAATTGATATGAGAAAGGCAGATGACCCAATTTTAAAAAATGGGCAAAATATTTGAATAGGCAGGTAACAAAAGAGAGCATCCAAATGGCTAATGAGCCGAAACTGGTTTGGCTCAGTGGATAGAGCGTCGGCCTGCGGACTGAAAGGTCCCAGGTTCGATTCCGGTCAAGGGCATGTACCTGGGTTGCGGGCATATCCCCAGTGGGAGATGTGCAGGAGGCAGCTGATCAATGTTTCTCTCTCATCGATGTTTCTAACTCTCTATCTCTCTCTCCCTTCCTCTCTGTAAAAAATCAATAAAATATATTTTAAAAAAAACAAATGGCTAATGAACATATGGGAAGGTTCTCAGGCTCAAAAGACTTAAAGGATATGCAAGTTAAACCCCTAATTTATTACTACTTCATACCAACCAGAATGGTTCAAACAAATTAGAAAAGCTGACTATACCAAGTTTTTTAAGTGTTAGCAAGAAGGTAGAGCAATTAGAACTCTCACTTGCTCTGGTGGGAGTCTAAATTGGAAAGCACTTTGTAAAGCTCTTTGAGAATATTTACTAAAGGTGAACATATGCATAATCTGTAACTCATTAGTTCAGGTTCTAGGTATATCTACAACAAAATTGCATACATATATTCATTGAAAATACATACAAGAACATTGGTAGCAATGCTCTTATTCATACTGGCCCCACACTGGAAGTATCCCAAATTCCCATCAACAGTAAAAAGGATAAATAAATTGTAACACATTCATACAATAGACTAGGAAAGAACTGTTGTTTTACCTAATATATGATGAATCTTACAAACATAATGAATGAAAGAAGCCAGACACAAAAGAGAATATAGTGAATCCTTTCATTTTTGCAAATTTCAAAAAACAAGCAAAATAACCCTCTGGTTTTAGAAGTCAGAATAGTGGTTACCAATTTGGGGGGCAGGAGATTTTTTTGGGCGTTGGTATTTCTTGTTTAGGATACTGATTAAACAGGTATTTTAACTTTGTGGAAATTGGTTGAGATGTATAATTATGCATTTTTCAATGTATTATATGACAATAAAATTTAGTAATTTTTTAAAAAACAGTATATTCTAATTTTGAATTGATAAAAGATTCACATTATAAAAAATACTAGAGGCCCTGTATACAAAATTTGTGCACTTGCAGGGGGCAGGTCCCTCAGCCTGGCCTGCACCCTCTCGCAGTCCAGGAGCCCTTAGGGGATGTCTGACTAATGACCTAAGCTGTCAGTCGGACACCCTTAGCACTGCTGCAGAGGCAGGAGAGGCTCCCACCACCGCCACTGCACTTGCCAGCCGTGAACCCGGCTTCTGGCTGAGCAGCGCTCCCCCTATGGGAGTGCACTGACCACCAGGGGGCAGCTCCTGCGTTAAGTGCCTGCACCCTGGTGGTCAGTGCCCATAGTGACCAGTCGTTCTGGCATTTGGTCAATTTGCATATTAGCCTTTTATTATATAGGATAGAAGGGAAATAGTATAAAAAGTCTCCTTTCCACCTCTATGCTCCAGCCATCCAGTTCCCTCACTGGTAACCAGCCAATGATCTACACTAATAAAAGAGAAACATGGTAATTGGCATATGACCGCTACCCTTCCCATTGGCTAATCACGGCGATATGCAAATTAACTGCCAACTAAGATGGTAGTTAACCGCCAACAAAGATGGCGGCTAATTTGCATGCTGCAGGCAGGATGGTATAGCGCCATCAGAGAGCGGGTTGGGGGTGTGAGTGCCTGTGGTCGCCCGGGACCCGATCCCGCCAGCAGACCCGGACATGGGCCGGCGGGGCGGCTGCGGCATCCGCCTGCACTCACGCCCCCAACCCGGACCCGATTCCGCCTGGGCAAGGGGCCGATCCGGCGATCGGAGGGTGATGAGGGTCAACTCCTCTGGCCAAGGCATCAGGCCTGGGTGGGGGGCGGAGCCTGGGATTGGGGGGATATCATGGTCCCCTTGCCCAGGCCTGAAGCCTGGGTCAGAGGCGTCAGGCTTGGGCGGGGGGGGGGGGGGGAGGTGGAGCAAGCGATCAGAGGGAGATGGGGGTCCCCTGCCCAGGCATGATTCCTGGGCCAGAGGCATCAGGCCTGGGAGGGGGTCAGAGCCAGTGATCGGGGGGAGATGGGGGTCCCCTGTCCAAGCCTGACACCTCTGGCGGAGGCGTCAGGCCTGGGCAAGGGGCCGATCAGGGATCGGAGGGTGATGGGGGTTGACGCCTCTGGCTGAGGCATCAGGCCTGGGCAAGGGTGGAGCCGGTGATGGGGGGGAGAGGAGAGTTCCCTGCCCAGACCTGAATCCAGGGCCAGAGGCATCAGGCCTGGGCCAGGGGCAGAGCCAGCAATCGGAGGGGTCTGGGGGTCCCCTGCCCAGGCCTGACGCCTGGGCCAGAGGCATCAGGCCTGGGCTGGGGGCCGATCCTGCGATTGGAGGGTGATGGGGGTCAATGCCTGAGGGCTCCTAGTATGTGAGAGGGGGCAGGCTAGGCTGAGGGACACTCCTTCCCCCCCCCCCACCACCACCCAGTGCACGAATTTCGTGCACTGGGCCCCTAGTTTAGTATATTTATGCATCCTTTTAGAGATATTTTTTTGGATATACAAGCAAATAAATATCTATGTAATTACACACACACACACACACACACACACACACACACCCCTATTCTTTTTGCATATATGGCATACCTATCCTTTTTTATATGTATGACATGTCTAAACATGTTATTCTACAGTTTGCTTTTATCATCTAATTTATTTGAAAGGCTTTTCCATTTCAGTACATAAAGAAATTTCTTTTTCCTTCTTACAGCTGCATAATGTGCTTGTAAATGGGTGTTCCATGATTTATTTAACAAGTTCCCCCTCTTGATGGGCATTTATGTAGGTTTGACTATTTCTAGTTGAGAAACTTTCTTGATGGAAGGTGAGTCTCAAGACAAGTTAATTGTAGAAGACAGTCACTGTATTCATCTTAAAGTAATGCCAGCAATATTCCCTTGCCTTTCATTGGCTGATGTCACAGCCCAGACTGGCAAGGGAAGCTGCCCATTCCTTTCCAGGAGAACTTCATTTTGTAGGTATGGTAGCCTGAGAAAAAAAGTGGTAAATTTATATGAAAGATTAATTTTTAAAAAAAGTTTTTGTAAAGTTAGAATTTCTTATATAATAGTTTGATTTATCTTCTTTCTCTTTTTGTTTTCTGTTTAGCCCAAGAAGAAGAAGAGAACAGTGGAATTGAGAGCCATTAATTTGGGGACAGATTACGAATATGGGGTTTTGAACATTCACATGACTTCATATGACATGGCCCTGGCAGAGAGTTATGCCCAATATGTTCACAACCTCTGCAACCATCTCTCCATTAAAGTGGAGGAAAGGTATGAAGGCTGTCTTTGTATGAAATATTCTTGGCGTGGGTAGCATGCTCTGCTTTGTTGTTGATAAATGAGGTTTTGAGATATAATTTACATGTGATAAAATTCACCCTTTTTAGATATACTTTGCCACAATCAAAATATAAAAGTTTTATTAACCCCAAAAGTTTCCTGGTGCCCAGGTATAGTCAATCTCCTCCCCTTTCTTTCCCTTTCACATCTCTGGCAACTACCAGTTGATTTTCTGTCCCTGTTGTACATCATGTAAGTAGAATCATACAATATGTAGCTGTTTGTCTGGCCTCTTTCACTTGCCATAATGTGTTTAAAATTTATCCATGTTTTTGTAAGTATTTTATTACTGAGCGGTATTCCATTAAATGGTGATTTTAATTCACCAGTTGATGTACTTTTGGATTGTCTCCAGTTTGTTGGTAATTATTAACAAAGCTGCCGTAATCATTCTCATACAGGTTTTGTGGGTCATATGTCTTCTTTTCTCCTGGATAATTACCTAAGATTGGGATTTAGGGATTGTATAGTGAATGTATGTTTAACTTTGTAAGATACCGCCAAACTGGTTTCTAAACTAGATACACCATTTTTGCATTCCCACCAGCAACATATGAGAGTTCCAGTAACTCCTTATTCTGGTCAGTACTTGGTATTGTCAAATTTTTTTAAAAGGTATTCTAATACATACATACTGGTATCTCACAGTGGTTTTAATTTTCACTTCCCTAATAAATAAATGATGTTGAGCATCTTTTCATGGGCTCATTTACCTTCCGTATATCTTCTTTGATGATGTGTCCAAATCTTTTGTCTACTTTTAAAATTGGGGGGTTTTTTTGTTTTTTTTTTTAAATATATTTTATTGATTTTTTTACAGAGAGGAAGGGAGAGGGATAGAGAGTTAGAAACATCGATGAGAGAGAAACATCGATCAGCTGCCTCCTGCACACCCCCTACTGGGGATGCGCCCGCAACCCAGGTACATGCCCTTGGCCGGAATCAAACCCGGGACTCTTCAGTCCGCAGGCCGACGCTCTATCCACTGAGCCAAACCGGTTTCGGCCGGGTTGTTTTTTATTACTGAATTATTAAAGTTTTTACAATCTGTTTTTGGATACCAGTTCTTTTTCAGTATGTGTTCTGCAAATATTTTCTCCCAGTCTATGGCTTATCTTGTTACCTTTTTATCTGAGTCTTTTAGAGAGCAGGAGTTTAAGTTTGATGAAGTTCAACTTACCAGTTTTTTTCTCTTATTGTTCATGCTTTCGGTATCAGATCTAAGAAATCTTTGCCTAATCCAACATCACAAAGATATTCTCCTATGTTTTCTGATAGAAGTTCTATAGTTTTAAGTTTTACTTTTAGGTCTGTGATCCATTTGGAGTTATTTTTGTATATGGTGTGAGATATGGGTCAAAGTTTTTGTTTTTTTTAATATACATATCCAATTGTTCAAATACCATTTGTTAAATAGATTTTCTTTCTCCATTGATTTTTCTTAACACCTTCTGAAAGTCAATTAACCATGTATGTTTAGATCTATTTCTATTCTCTATTATACTGATGTATATATCTATGCTTACGCCAATACCACAATATCTTTCTTGATTACGGTAGCTTGATTACTGAACTAAAACTTTGTTCTTATTTTTCAAAATTATTCTGGCTATTCTAGGTTTTTCATAAACATTTTAGAACTAGTTTGTTGATTTCTACAGAAAAGAGCCTGATGGAATTTTGTTAGGATTGTGTTGAATCTGTAGATAAATTTGAGGAGAATTGACATTTTATCTATTTTAATTCCTTTGATTCATTAAGATGGTATATGTCCCCATTTATTTAGGTATTCTTTGCTTGCTCTGCTTTTCATTTACTCTTTGGATTTGTTGGAAAACTGTAGGAGAGGAGAACTAACATTTACTCACTGTTTGCTCCAGGCCAGGCACTTTACATAACTTACCTCAGTGTCTCAGAAAATGTGGGATGCCCTTTTAAATTCTCATTCAACTTAATATGTCAAGGATAAAATCTTTGTGTGGTTCTGGTATGTTCTTAACACCACTCTAACACTTCCTAATCTTCATAACAGAGAGGCAACCTCTGGTTCGCGTTTTTGGCTACCAATAGAATTTAGCTAGAATTTTATAACATTATTTTGTTTTCATTGTATTTATTTTTAACTTACTTTCTACTTATGACAGCTGATACTGGTTTTCCATTTGTAGTAGGAACATAAAGTCAGGTTTATTGATATATAATTTACATTCAATAAAAATTCACCCTTTTAGTGATCAATTTCTGAGTTTTGACAAATACACACAGTAGAGAGTAAATACCATCATAACCAAGATACAGAACATTTTCATCATCCCAAGAAGTTCCCTCCCCAGACCCCCAGCCCCTGGCAAATACAGATCTATTTTCTGTCCCTATAGTTTTTGCCTTTTCCAGAATGTAATATTAATGAAATCATACAGTATTTTTCTTTGTGAATCACATACCTCTATCATGTCACTTAGTGCTTTGGGCTGTAATTGCCTATTCATGTGTCAGCTCCCCTCCCCACTGACTAGTTGGGGACTGTGCTCTTTATTTCTTCACTTAAGATAATGTATTTGAGATTTATGCATGTTATTGCCATGTCAAATTGTTTGTTCCTTTTTGTTGCTGATAAGCATTTCATTGAATACATGTATGTTTATCCATTCACCAGCTGAAGAACATTTGTGTTGTTTTCAGTTTGGGGCAATTGTGAATAAAGCCACCATAAACATGTACAGGTTTTTGTGAGAACTTAAGTTTTCATTTCTCTAGGAGTATGATTGTGGGGTCAAATGGTTAAGTGTAATTTATGTTTAAATTTATAAGAAACTGCCAAACTGTTTGCCAAATTGGCTGTACCATTTTTTTCCTCATCAGCAACATGAGTTCCAGTTGTTCCACATCTCAAGTTTCTTTTTCAAATTAATTTTAAGTGTGTTGACTTAAAGAAAAATATTTAATAAATAATACTTGGGGTGGTTTGCCATTGTGACAAGGTAGTACATGGCACAATATATGGGTATGGCAAAAATTATACTCTTTCTCACTAACAGATATTAATATACTAGAGGCCCGTTGCACGAAGATTCGTGCAATAGGCCTTCTTTCCCCTGGCTGCTAGCACCAGTTTTCCTCTGGCTCCTGGGACCCAGACCTTCACTCTGGTCACCGCCTTCCATCTTTGCTCTGGACACAGTTTTTGCTGCGGCTGGAGCCTTCAGTCTTTGCTCCTCACTCTGGCTGGAGTCTTCAGTCTCCAGCCAGAGCTGCTCCTGTAGCTCCTTCTGCCCCCACCCCCAACCCTCCCCCTCATAGCTTGATCACTGCTTCGCCTGCAGACCTCGCCGACGGACTCCTGGGTCCCGGGGGGCCGCCTTGCCTGCGGCCTGGCTTTCCGGTAGCTCCTGGGGTCACACATGGGGGCCTGGATGGCGGCTCCTGGTGTCCCGCCCTGTCTGCAGTATGCAAATTAGCCGCCATCTTTGTTGGCGGTTAATTTGCATATCACACTGATCAGCCAATGGTGATGGTAGCGAAGGTACGGTTAATTACCATGTTTGTCTATTATTTGATAGGATTCTCCTTGTACAGATGAAGAAACCAAGTCTCAGAATAGCCAAAAGTCACAGAACTAGTAAATTGCCTGGATTTAACCTAGTTCTGCCTGACTCCAGTATTTTTAATTCTATAGGATCTTTTTTTAAAAATATGTTTTTATTGATTTCAGAGAGAGATAGAAACATCGATCAGAGAAAAACATCGATCAGCTGCCTTCTTCATGCCCCCTACTGGAGATCGAGCCCACAACCAGGGCATGTGCCTGACTGGGAATTGAACCAGCAACCTCATGGTGCATGGGATGATGCTCAACCAACTGAGCCACACCAGCCGGGCTATAGGGTCTTATTTTAAGTCATTAAGCCAAATATGAACTTTTGAACCTTTATAACTTAGAGTATAATTGCGCTAAATGTGCTATTTGGAAGACTGTATAATAAGGTGTGATTTTATCTCTCACAGCAGATAGTACTTCAATTGTGTTAGGCCTAAAGATATGCTTTATCTATTTCTGATGCCCCAGAGAGTCAGTTGTTCTTTCAGCACTTGACACGCACCTCTATCATGTCACTTAGTGCTTTGGGCTGTAATCGTCTATTCATCTGTCAGCTCCTCTCCCCACTGATTAGATGGGGACTGTGTTCTTTATTTCTTCAGCACCTAGACCAGGGCCTGCCTGCCACATGGGGAACATTAAGCCATTGTTGAAAGAATGACAGGTTCTTCAATATGACTATACAATCCAGCTGTATGGTATACATTTCCTAAAGTTTAATGACAGTGCTTTCAATTAATTGATTAAAATCTATTGATTGAGCCCTTTCTTGCTCATGTGGTAAGCACTGTACTAGGCATTTTAACTGGATGATACTAAGGTGAATGTTCCTGATTTCAGGGATTATATGTACATGTGTGTGTGCACACAAGCACACAGAAATAATTTTAACATAATGTGGAGCATGGTAAGTGAAAGTTAAAGTACAGTGCCAGTTCAGGAAGCAGCAGCAATACCTTTCCAAGTAGCACTGCCCGAAGATATTAGAAGCTTATGCCAAAATGTGCATTCATGCTTTGCTTCCTTCATCAAAAAAGTCTTGCTATTGAAAAAAAAAATGGTTGGCTGAGTTAAATAGTGTGTTTAGTGACTGTTGCATGCTCCTTATCTTTTCCTGGACTGATACCATGCAGTTTGCTCACCAGCAGCTTGTCTCTGGACCACACTTTGAGTAACACAGTACCAATTCTGGAATCAAACTACCTGATTTAAATTCAAGTTGTACCAGTTATTGGCAATATGACCTTGGGAAATTCTGAACCTCAGTTACCTCTTCTTTATGGGATGATAATTTTCTTATTTCTCTGAGTTCTGAAAATTAAATAAAATAGTA